ACCAGGAACAAGGCCGGATTTTGACTCATGAGGTCCAAAAAGGCATGGTATCTCGCAATACACCTCACCAATGGAGCGGAATCCTTCGAATGGTCGAACCTTCCTGGCCTAGTCCATCCAAGGCCCACCATCTTCTCAATGAACGATCCCTGCCGGAGAACTGCTCCGACAAGATCCAAGCAAGCTGGTCCATAATGACTGTACGCGGTCACGACACGCTGCAACCTAGTCGATACGAAAGGTGAGACAAACAGTAGACTAGGATCCTTCATGAAAGGTCAACTAACCTGGGACGGGGACTGACTCGATTAGGAGTACGCAGCGGAGCAACACCACGATGCAAGAAGTCCGATAGAACTTGTGGATTATAGCTTAACCACACCGCCAATTGCCCAGTTTGGGTAGCGATCTCAGTTGAGGCGATGGGAGAATTTACCCGATACAGAGAGTCCAGGTACTTGAGATATCCTTTAGGGACCATTCATTTTGACTGTTAAATTTGTTACATACCGAAAGGACCTTGGTCATGAATTCGCTTGCTGCCTTCGTATCGACAATGCCTGTGTAGTAATGTAGGAGGCTCTCCCTGGAATCCTCTTAGCTATGCTCTTCTCTGGGCAAACTATCATTACATACGAGATATAGACATTTTCTCCGGCCCTCTTTCGCGATATCTCTTCCGAGAACCGTCGAATTCCTATGTTTGCCTTGGAGAAGTCGACTTGACAATGTTCACATTTGTAGGAAAAGTTGGGCTGGGCAAATCCTTGTCCCGAAGAAGTGACCCAATGTACCGAAGAATTGTTTTCCAAGCAACGCGGACACGTTAGACTAAGCGTCTCCTGAGAGGTAGTTACCAGCGGCATCTCATAGGGCATTCCGGAGGTCGTTATAAAAAGGCTCTCCTGCGATTCCGAGGGTGGGATTGGCTTGAGTGTCTCCGAGTCGATCAATGTCGCTAACAAGGTGACTGGCATACTCCTGTAGAATTGGCATCTGAGTACACGCAACGCTTCTCGGAATTGATAGCTCACTGCAGTCTTTGTAGATTTTGCGCGTATGCATTTGATAACCGACTTTGATCTTCGTAGTATGATCGAGGATTCTAGACAAATGGGCTCCAGTAAGCGATGTAGTCTCGATTGAAGTAGGTTTAGATGCCATACCAAGAGGTAGGTATGCCAAACCATCATCACGTCCAATGGTGGCATCATGTCGGGGTATAGGCCAGGTGATGGTAGCTCCCATTGGGCAGACGTCCATGCAAAGAATCGATGAACCGCCCTATTAACAAATACTACCCATACCTGGTCTCTGTCATCAGTAACGATACCGTCCTGCTGATCCTGTACGTCGCGTTTGAGTTCGGAGAATGCGCCGAGGAGCTTTAAGTGCGCCTGGAGTTCCGTTACATTGACTAGAGGTCGAACATTGTGCTGACCAATTGGCAACTGCTCGGGCAGCTCAGTTGGATATTCCGAGTATGTGGGGGGGGTTTCTTCAGCCTGCATTGTTGAAGTTGATGATGTTGTGCACCATTGCGACACCTAAGCCTATATATCTTCCAACCTTGAAAGCGGTGAAAGAGCGATTTTATTCCGCCTCGATCGTCAAACGGTTCATCTGGTGCTGGAGTAAAATCATTACAGAGAGGCTGGGGCCGGGTGGCTGCATTTGGACAACGGGTTAAGTGCCAGCTGCTCGCAGAATGTCTGCTCCCTATAAAATTGATCGATCCCTATAATTGGATTACCACGGTTGAGGGAAAACACGTCGAGGGCCCCATGCTTGCGATGATCATCGGCACTTTGCACTGTATACCCTATCAAAGTTTCGGTCGAAATTATGATTAGGCAGCAGACAAAGCGTTATGTGATCCAAGTTTAGATTCACGTACCAATGCGCCGGCAGTGAGATGAGGATGTGGAATGCCTCTAGGCTGTGCGTGTGCCAGGGGGGACCCCTCCTTTACCGAGCTGTACAATGCCCTAGCGGAACCGTACATATTCACCAGAGAGTTGTAGTATCTGTGCTTGGTTTGTGGAGCTCGTGTTTTGCTGCTTCAAACTGAACCTCCAGTACCGTCTGCCAGCAGTACGGTGTAAAACATTTGCCAGCAGCAGAATGTCTATTCTATTTCGGTATGGGGAACACGATTTCGATTCGTTTGTAGAGGGAATATCTATTGGCGTGATCAGTGACGTGTACAGCTTCTCGCAGCTCTAACAGTGCTCTAGTTACTCTTTATTCTGACAAATTGATGGTATAGTATACGTATATTTGCCACCTGACTGTACAATTGAGGGTTTGCCTTTGTTGTGAACAGCGGAGGACTGACCGACTCCCTTTTTTCATCCAGAACGATTTAGCCCTTCGGAAACAACGCAACGGAACTTTATGACCCATTTTTCTTCGGAAGAAAGTGTCCCTTCAGGAATCTGGGCCCAAACATGAGACAAGAGAGGTCCAAGGTGTGTACCACCACCTGAATACGTAGATTGACTGGCATAATGCAAGCTCAGGTATACAGAAATGGTTTCGCTTACGATTCTCGGCAGGAAAACTGCTAGCTTTAGGAGGTCAAAGCTTTGGAAATGTCCATACTTATATCCATCAAAATTCGCTATCACAACCACTTCCGAAACCAGGCTAATCGTGCCCACTAGTACTGGAATAGTAAAATTTAGGTTTGATTCGTAAAATAGATGCGTAAGGTTTATTGAAATTCCACAAATACTTTATACCGTTTCAGAAGCGGGCACCGTCACCCAGGAATTGGGATAAATGAGAGCCAATGCACTATTTATCAATCAACCTAAGAGATGAATCGTCAGTTTTAGGCGATATAGAGCCAAGGATGACATGATTTGATACGTACTTCCGCATCCTCCACCACAACCGCCACCACAACCCCCTCCACCATCGCCTCCACCATCACCTCCACTGCCGCCGCATGCCCCACCTTGGCATCCACCCGACCCACAACCCGACCCACAACCGCCTATTGACCCCCCATATCCATAGCCTCCATAGAACCTGGAGGATCAATTAGCGAACAGAGCAGATTTCGTTGGTGAATAGAATCTTACCCGATTGGGACAGGATAAGATACTCCCCAGTAGGGGTAATAGTATCCATACCCATAGTAAGGGTCCGTAAACGCCTCTCTGTGCCTACCCCTATTTCCATCCGTGCCATCCAATGATGCCAGGTGACGTTTCTCTGCCCTTTCAGCTTGCAACGCATTCCATGGATCTCTGGCGCCTTCCTTCTTCGCACTTGCGACGCACTGCATAGACTTTTTCTCCCGATACTCCTTCTTCCATTGAGCAAGCTGGCCACTTGGGTTTCCAAAGTAAGCATTGTGCTCGGACGGGTGCGACGTGTCTGCTTCGTGATCTTCGGTCGAGACCAAATCGGGACGCGAATTGACCACCATGCCCTCTTTCCTGGTATTTGACTTCTCCCTCTTGTGGCCAAAGCTTGAAAGTTTGAATGAGAAGCGGCTGGTACGAGACTCTGGACCCTTGTCAGGAATACAGCCACACACCGAGTATGGGACACCAAAGCGAACTTTCCACGCTTTGGCGGTGATGTCATACGCGGTCGAGAGGGAAGTCGCATCGACGTTATCATCGTGGTTGGGAGTACGCTGGAGCAAGTACTGAGTGTCGAGCCTATACTGGTCGCCTTTCAACTGGTGGGTGTGCCAAGCAAGATCCTACAAATCATGAGGGAGTGTGTCGAAGATTTTATTAGCTTCTTTACTCACAATATCCTAACCAGATAAGTCAGTCATATCGTTCAGATCACAACCGTCAACATACCAGAGTGGGCACCAAGAACAATCCCGAACTCTGACTCATAATGTCCAAAAACGCATGATACCGTGCAATGCATCTCACTAGGGGAGAGGAGTCTCTTGAATGGTCGAATCTTCCCGGTTTAGTCCATCCAAGTCCTACCATCTTCTCGATGAACGAGCCCTGTCGGATGATAGCTCCCACCAGGTCGATGCTGGCCGGTCCAAAATGACTATACGCGACCACAACGCGCTGCAATCTAATTGATATACAAAAGGTGAGATAAATAGTAGAGGAAGTGTTGGTCATCTGGAGACAAACCTGGGACGAGGGTTGGCCGGGTCAGGGACGCGCAGAGGAGCAACGCCACGTTGTAGGTTTTCTAACAAAAGCTTTGGACTATAGCTCAATCCCTTTGCCAACTCGTCGGCTTGGTTACGGATTTCCGCCTCGGCGATGGGCTGGTTTACTTTGTAGGTGCCGTCCAGGTACTTGGAACGCTCGTTAGTAGCTGACCGATCTAATGTATAAAATTTTGAACATACTGAAAGGATCTTGGTCATGAATTCGTTTGCTGAAGTAGTATTGATGACACCTGTAGAGTGGTGCAGGAGACTCTCTCTGTGAAACGCTGAGTCCTACATTCTCCACACCTGGAACTATCGACGCTTACGAGATATAAATAGTCTCCCCTGCCCTCTTGCGCGATACTTCCTCTGCAAATCGCCGAATTCCCAGACTAGGCTTATCGAAAACAACTTGACAACCTTCACATTTGTAAGAAAAGTTGGGTTGGGCGAAGCCCTCTTCCTCGAGGGTGGCCCATCGCACCAAGGAGTTGTTCTGCGCGCAGCGCGGGCAAATCAGGGTGAGCGTTTCGTCCCAACCAGTTGCTAACGG